GTGTAGCTTTGCGCCTTTCCTGGATCTCGCTTTGGAGACCAGGCTGTCCTCAAACTCACAGAGATCCGCCTGGCTCTGCCTCCCGAGTGCTGGGATTAAAGACGTGCGCCACCACCGCCCAGCCTAATGATTCTTTTTTGGACAGGGTTTCATGTAGCCCAGGCTGGCCTCAAACTGGCTTTATAGTCAAGGATAACCTTGATCTTCTGATCCTCCTGCGTCTACCTCTTGAGTGCTAGGATGATAGGCACGTGCTACCACCCCTGGTTTACAGAGTGTGGAGTAGAACCCAAGGCTGTATACATGCTAGGCAAGCACTCTACCAGCTGAACCCTATCCCCAACCCCTCCAGTGAGTCTTTATAATGCCAGGCAGTGCACTGAAGGAGGTTTATCAAAGATGAAGTAGCTAGGTGTTTTTTAAAAAGGCAGGAAGTGCCAGGCAAATCCCAGCACTCAGAAGGCAAGGGCAGTAAATCTCTAAACTTGAGGCCAGCCTGGTCTACACAGTTGAGAACCTTTCTCAAAAATGAAAGAAAATAAGAAAAGCTGATACACATCCTGTCTACAGCTGAGCAGACATGTGGGAGATGTTTGGGTGGGTCTGACTGCAAATGGTCCCAGTTTCAGTAAGGGCAGGTGAGGGGTGGACAGGATGAAGGGTGGTAGGCTGTGGGTATAGTCACAAACAGCACCAGGGTGAAGACATACTATGTGGTTTTCATCACAAAACATTTCACCTGCCTAAGCTGGGGTTAGGAATCCAAGATGAGTCTAGATGTATCACTGAGTGGGCTCCCCTTGCAAACCGCAGCAGGACTATGGCTGTTATCAAGATCTCATTCTGAGTGTGGCCTTCAGAACCCATGCCCTCATACTTTTCAGTTTTTTGTTACTTTGTTTTTGTGGGTTTTTTGAGACAGGATTTCTCTGTATAACAACCTTGGCTGTCCTGGAACTTGTTTTGTAGACCAGGCTAGCCTTAAACTCAGAGAAATCTGCCAGTCTCTGCCTCCCTGAGTGCTGGGATTAAAGACAAAGACAGGTGTGCAGAAAACCCATCTGCAGCTTTACTCTTTAAGTGGTTATTGTTCTGTTTTTTTCTTAACTTTTTTTTCTAATTTATTTTGTGAAGATAGAGGTGTGTCATGATGTGCATGTAGGGGTCAGAGGGTAACTTGTGGAAGTTGGGTTCTCATTCCCATATAAGTTTCAGGGATCAAACTCAGATCATCAAGCTCAGTGACAAGAACCTTTACCTTCTGAGCCATCTCATTGGCCTTTCTCCCCCCTTCAGGCAGGGTCTCATATGTCCCAGGCTAACTTCGTATATCCCAGGCTAGCCTCAAGCTCACTACAGAGCCAAGGATGACCTTTAAGCTTCAGTTCTTACCTTCACCTACCAAGTATAGGGATTACAGGCCTGTGCCAACATGCCCAGTTATGGTAGTGCTGGGGTTCCAACCCAGAGTTGCACATATGCTAGGCAAGGGTTCTGAGCCACATCCCCAGATCCAACCCTTTTTTTGAGAGGGGATCTCACATAGCTCAGGCTATGCTGTAACTTTGTAACTTGTAGTTCACCTGCCTCAGCTTTCTGTGTGTTGGGATTGTAGGTTTATGCAACCTTGCCTAGTGATTAATTTTTTTATTTTTAATTATGTGTATATGTTTTTATACATGAATGCAGTGCCTTCAGAAACCAGAAGGGGGTGTCAAATCTTCTGAAACTGGGATCACAGGCAGTTGTGAGTCACCCTACATGGGTACCAGGAGCCAAACACTGGTCCTTTTGGACCAGTACACACTCTTACCTGCTTGGTCATCTCTTCAGCCTATGACAGCATCTTTAATGTGTGTGCCATCGAAGGCTGAAGGAAGCAACTAGGGATATAAGTCAGTGGTAGAGCATTTGCCTGGCGTATACAAAGCCTCAGGTTCTGGGGAGGGGGAGAGAATACTAAAGACCATTGTTGGGATGGAAATTAATAAACATGTAAGGAACCTCTGGTGATGTATATCCAAACATGATTACACAGAGCAGTTCTCTAGGGAAAGGAGGTGGATTTCTGAAGGGGGAACACTTGCGGAAGAGGGCATTTCAAGAATGGGGTGGGGGTGGGGTGGTATGTTGATGATGGCCATATTGGACCTTCAGGGTATAAGGAACTCCACCTTTAAATGTCCCTCTTATTACCCCCTTCTGCTCATTCCAGATCTTGAAGATCCTCTCAGGAAAGGTAGTGGTAGGGCATGCCATCCACAATGACTACAAAGCCCTGCAGTACTTTCATCCCAAGTCTCTCACCCGAGACACTTCCCAGATACCGCTCCTCAACCGGAAGGCTGGCTGCCCAGAGAATGTCACTCTGTCACTGAAGCATCTCACCAAGAAGCTGCTGAGTCGGGACATCCAGGTAACTTCTCTCCAAGTGCCCCCACTACACACACAGTTCAGGACCCACTAGTCTGTCTGTAAGGAGAAGTAATGATTCCTGTGTACTTCATAGACTGTACCAGATGGCACAGTGGGAAAAGAAGACCACTCAAGCATTTCACATGTTCAGCAGTCAAGGACAGTGGCCACAGAATACAGAATACATGTCACACAGAGAACATTTAAGAACCAAGACTCAAAAGGCCTGTCTTTGACCTGAAATTCCTGCCTCTGCAAAACTTAAGAAATATATGATACATATACATTGCCTCAGAAGTGAGTGTATTAGCAGGGTGGTGGTGGTGCACACCTTTGATCCCAGCATTATGGAGGCAGAGGCAGGCGGATCTCTGTTCAAAGTCTACAAAGCGAGTTCCAGGACAGCCAGGACTGTTACACAGAGAAACCCCGTCTCAACAAAACAGAACAAAAAGAAAGAAGTGAGTGTATTGGACAGTAGCAGGCTGGCTGAGAGTTGGACCTCAGATGTGATAAGCAGTAGGGCCCAACAGAGTTCTGACTACAGCTCAAACTATAGAAGAAAATATGGGGTGGCTAGCAGTCATGGGGTTCCGGAGTTGGCTGGGAAAAGAAGAAATAGTTCTTGTTTTCTTCATGTTCTTTTCCCCTTTAGGCTGGACAAAGTGGACATTCCTCAGTGGAAGATGCCCAAGCCACCATGGAGCTGTACAAGTTGGTTGAAGTTGAATGGGAACAGCACCTGGCCCAGAATCCTCCAGAAAATTAGCTGTCCCGGGGAGACACGTGCAGTAGACCACTGCACAACTCTGCCAGCTGCACAGCTGTAGAGGCTGGCATTGTTGGGGAGGGGCTTGACCAGAGACTCGATACCCATTGAATTCTCATCCCAGCTCTTGTGGTCGCTGTGTGGTTAAGTGTCCCATGGAAGGGGAAGAAAGCCGTATGTTAAACCCCATCTCTAGGCCAGGCAGGTGGCCAGGTCTGTAATCCCAGATACTTGGGAGGTTGAGACAGGTTACAAACTTAAGGTTGGCCTGGCCTGCAGAATTAGTTCAAGGCCAGTGAGACCCTGTCCTAACATAAAAAGAGGGCCAGGAGGAGAGCGCAGTGCTAGAGCACTTCCTAGCATGCACAAGCCCAAGGTTCAGTGTCCAGTAGTGGGGTGGGGGAGGATGGAAAGAATGGAACACAACATGAATTAGAGACTGTTTACTTTTTAATAGTGCTAACCACATGTCCCAGGGTGCTTGTGCCAGTCAGCTTTCTGGACTTCGAGGAAGCAAGGCACACCAGGGAATACAGATTCCCACATTACCTTATCAGTGGGACACATAACATAGATGTGTCTCCCTTTGGTGGGGCTTTGGGTAAAGTTGTTTGTTGTGTTGCCAAGGTTGGCCTCAAAACACTTGTGCTCAAATGACTCCTTCCTCAGCCCCACGAGTAACTGGGACTACCGGTGTGTGTTCACCACTGTGCCTGGTTCTTTGAATTTTATGTTTTTTATTATAAAGTAATTAATAGTATCCTTTCACTTCCAGAAGTGTCCTGATTAGAGGTGGGCATGGTGATCTGTAAATCCAGGACTCTGGAGTTCAGGGCAGGGAAATCAAAAGTTCAAGGCCAGTCTGAATACATAGAGAGGCTCTGGCTCATAGAAGTAGAAAAGAAAAGGGACAGATTGTGTGGCTGGTTGCTGAATTGTATAGCCACATTATATAGCACAGAATAAGAGTTTACTTCATTTACGTTCTGTTTAGTTTACAAAGAATTTACCTTGTTTTAAGTCTTTCAATCTTTCACCTTGCAAATGAAGCCTTTTAAAAATTCAAATGATTCTTTTTATGATTTTTTATAATAGAAAACTAGTGTTCTTTTTTCCATAAAGATTATTTTTATTGTATTTATGTGTATGTGTTGCAGGCTTTCTTGGACTGCCAACCAGCTCCCAAATCAAGACACAGAGACTTATTAGATTATCAATGGTCAGCCTTAGTTTATGCTTGTCTCAGTAGCTCTTATAACTTAATTTAACCTGTTTCTCTTCATCTTTGTTTTGCCTTTTTGTTTTGTTTTTGTTTGTTTGTTTGTTTTCTGAGACAGGGTTTCTCTGTGTAGTTTTGGTGCCTGTCCTGGATCTTGCTCTGTGGACCAGGATGGCCTCAAACTCACAGAAATCCTCTTGTCTCTGTCTCCTGAGTTCTGGGATTAAAGGCGTGTGCCACCGCTGCCTGGTGCCTTGGGGCTTTATTTTAACCTTTCATTCTTTTTTTTTTTTTTTCTTTTTCTTTTTTTGGTTTTTTGAGACAGGGTTTCTCTGTGTAGCTTTGCACCTTTCCTGGAACTCACTTTGTAGACCAGGCTGGCTTCGAACTCACAGAGATCCGCTTGCCTCTGCCTCCCGAGTGCTGGGATTAAAGTTAACCTTTCATTCTGTCCTGCTTTCCTGCTTCCTCCATGTCTGGCTTGCTGGTGGCTGCCTGGCTTCCTGGCTCCAGACGTCACCCTCTTTCTCCTTCATTCTGTCTTTCTCTCTCTGCCCACCAGCCATGCTTTTCCTCTTCTGCCTAGCTATTGGCCATTCAGCCTTTTATTAGACCAATCAGGTGCCTTGGGCAGGCAAGGTGAAACAACACATCTTTACATAGTTAAACAAATGCAACATAAACAAATGTAACACATCTTTACTTAGCTAAACACTCTATTCCACAAGATGTATGTTCGTGCTTTCTGGGGCTGGGAGAGGGTGTCAGAGCTACATAGTGAGACTTGTCTCAAAAACAAACAAACAGACTTCTGGAACTGAAGTTATAAGCATTGTAAGTTTCTGGAAAATGGGTGCTGGAAATCAAGCTTGGGTCCTCTGGAAAGGGCCATCTCTCCAGCTCATGTGGATTCATTTTGGCTTCATATTAAATAACATCATAGGGTGTTAACTACACAAGGGCTGTAGAGGATTTCCAGACTCTCTGGATGGCTCTCGCTGGAGACATTATTTGTTGGATGATCTGAAGCTTTGGTAAGCCTTTGTGACACAAACAGCATTTTGTCTTTCCCCTCACAATTCAACAATCACATCTGAAGTGACACTCTCAGCCATGTGGGCACCCTCAGATAGAAGGTGTGTGTCCAGGGGAGTGAGGTGGAGTGAGTCTGGGCGTAAGGGAGGGACAGAGTTGGGGAGGAAGGTGCTTGGTGACGCTAGCCTGGCAGCTGCGACAGCTCTTAGTGGTGCACACCTTCTTCTCCAAAAGGTGAGTCGTGGGTCTGTCCTGTACTGTCCCCACTCTTCAGAGCCGCCAGTTCATTTTACCATTGAATTGTTTGTGGCAGTGAAATTACTTTGATTCTTAGAGTTTTAACAGTTTTTGCCCCAAATCTTGAGTTCTAATCTTGATTTTTTTTTTAAAGGGGTGGTATTTGTAGATACAGTAAGACTGTAGTTTTCTTTTCTTTTCTTTTTTTTTTTTTTAAAAGATTTATTTATTATGTATACAGCATATATGACTGCAGGTCAGAAGAGGGCACCAGATCTCATTATAGATGGTTGTGAGCCACCATGTGGTTGCTGGGAATTGAACTCAGGACCTCTGTAAGAGCAGTCAGTGCTCTTAACCTCTGAGCCATCTCTCCAGCCCAAGACTGTAGTTTTCAATGAGAGCTTTACTGTGCCATGGACTATACTGAGCCCTTGAGGTACACCATGTCACTCTTAAGCTGGATGGGGGTTTTTGGTTAGTTGTTTATGTGTATGTGTGTTTTGCCTACATGTATGTCTGCACTACTTGTGTGCCTGGTGCCCATGGAGGCCATTAGAGTGTATCAGATCCTCTGGAACTGGGTTCACAGATCGTTGTGAGTTGTCATGTGGATGCTGGGAATCAAACACAGGTCCTCTGCAAGAACAGCCAGTGCTCTTAACTGCTGGGCCATTGCTCCAGCCCTTCAAGGTGGTATTCTAACCGTTGAGGAGAATGAGGTTAACCAAGAAGGTAAGAAATCTTTCTTTGGCCAAGTGTTAAAGGTTGGCAGCATTGGCACCCAGATTTGCTGAGTAGGCCTCAAGGCCCTGCCCTTCATTAGCATCTGAGTGGTATCTGGCAGGACATAAGTTCTACCACTCAGATCCTTGCCCAGGGTCTGTTCTGTACCAGGCAGTGTGCTAGACACTGGAAATGGTATTGTCTTTGGCTGAAAAGAGCCAGGAAATCTCGGTGCACCACACATTTGCTGTCCAGAGCCAAGATTTAATGCAGGTTAGTAATATATGAAAGGTCTGTGGTTCTGGATGACAATGCCGGCTGCTGTATGGAAGCTGGATTGGGGAAGGTGAGTGTCTGGAGAGAGGAGCATGTGAGTGCCACAGTAGGTGACAGCGACTGGGCCAGGAGGAGGACAGATGCACCAAGGTGCAGTGACCAGTGGAGGGTGTGAGGAAGTAGGCTTGAGGGAAATGAGGTGCGCATTCCCTGGCTCCCTGAGCGGCCTAAAGATAGGCAGGTGGTTCGATCAGACAAGTTCAGCAGATTAGCGACCCGCAGCTGAAAACTGAAGTTTTGAGCCAGCATTGCAGAACTGTTTTGGTGGCTCCTGTCTGTAATCCCAGCACTCAAGAGGCAGAGGTGGGAAGATCGCAAGATTTGAGGTTTTGAGACAGGTCTCTGTAGTCCTGGCTTGACTGGAACTCACGTAGACGTAGCTGCCTTAAAACTCTTAAGAGGATGCCTCTGCTGGGATTGAAGGCTCCTGACCTCCCAAAAGGAAATCTTAAAGAAAAAAAAAACCAAAACCAAACAAACAAACAAGCCAGGTGTGGCGGCACATGCCTTGCTTCTTAAAAACAAACACATCGTCTCCAAGGCCTCTGTACTGACCACCTATCTGGCAGTCTTCCTTTGGATCTTTATAGAACTTGTATGTACACAATACACATGCACATATAATCTTAGCACTTGGGAGGCAGATGCAGGCAGGTCCTTGTGAGTTTAAGACCAGTGTGGTCTACATAGTTCCAGGCTAGCCCAGGGTTACATAGACCCCATCTTTAAAAACGTGTGTGTGTGTGTGTGTGTGTGTGTGTGTGTGTGTGTGTGTGTGTGTGTGTGTATAGATTTGGGGTGACGTGTGAGATGACTTGGCAGTTACAGGTACTTGCTGCTCTTATAAAGGATTCAAGTTCGGTTCCTAGCACCCATATCTGGCAGCCCACAGCCTTCAGTAACTAGTGCAGGGAATCCAGCACCCTCTTTAAGCACCTGCACACACGTGCATGTACACATACAGATGCACACAAATGCATGGGGGCAGGGAAGCATCTGTCATTTGTAGCAGTTTGGTTACCTCAGTTCTGAGCACTCTAGGACTCAGACTGAGAATGGCAGATGCTGAACTGTACTGTTTTAACACAGACCTGTAGTCCCAACTATTCCAAGGTCTGCCTGGCTACAGGGAATGAGCTAGAGGAGAGAGGAAGAGAAATCCAGACTCCAGCTAAAGTGAGCACATGAGAATCCTGTTTGTGAGTCAGAAGATCCTGAAGTACTTGTAGTCAAAGGGGATAAATGGTATGAAGAAAAGAGGATGGATGTGTGCACTACACACAATGCTATGTGCATTTGTCGTAGGAAGAGCTTTTGGAGATGGTGGCATTTATGCAGACCTGAAAGGTAAGAGGAAGCCAGTTATACAGATCCAAAGGAAGACTGCCAGATAAGTGATAGGTGTGGAGACCTTGGAGCAGATGCATGCTTGTGCGTTTAAGGAGCAGTCTAGGGGACTTGCATGCCTGGAGCAGAATCGGCTAGGAAGGAAAGGGTAGGTGGTCAGAAGGGGGGAGGTCATAAGCAGATAGCAGGGCCTTGCTGTCCCTTAGGAGGATTTGAAGTTTTACACCGCATCAAATGGGAAACCACAGTAGGATCTAGAGCAGAGGAATGATACAGATTAGTGTTGGATTACCCGTAGCTGCTGTGAGGGAGGATGAGGACAGAGTCGGTGTAGAATCTTGCTATAACCTGGGAGAGACATCTGGTCCCATGGCAGTGGAGTTGCTGAGAGGTGGCCAGATTTGGGTAAGTTCAACTTTAGGCAAGTGTTGAACTTCAGTGTGATGGATGGTGAGCAACTGTTGAAGTCGAGGCTTACATCTCTGGCTTTTCAACCCTCTTCAGGCCCCTGTTCCTGTTCTGCCAGTGAACACTGAGTGCCTCTGCCCAGAGAGTGTGGACCCAAGCAGGTATGGTCAAGGTTAGAGGCTGACTACAGACACTCTGGGCAGTCATCAGGGCAGAGAGTAAATGGGCAAGTGAGATCTAGTGTCACTGCTAGGGAAAGCTGAGCATTTCCATGGGGGCTGCGGATCCAGACTCACTGTCACGGTGACCCAGGCCTGAAGAACTGCACGGGTTTTAGAGAAACCCCCACCTCTTACCCTCCTATCACTTAGCATGCTGGGGGCTTCCCGGTTTTCTCTTTTTCTTTCTATGTATGACATCCCATCTTATTAGAGACATTGTCAACCCCACCCAGTCTCAGAGCTGTTCCCATGCAGAGGGATCAGTATACGCCACCTGTCCTGTAGTTTTTCTTGCTTTATTTCTGTCTGTGGCCAAGATTTTCAGGAGGTCTCCCCCATCAGTCAGACCTGATCTCTAACCTTGAAGAAAGACAGCCTTTCATTTCCTGTGGAAACAAAAAAATGTAACTTCTCCCCCAATGCAGTACAGTTTCTGAATTTCATTTTGCATTCCATATGAAACAACTGCTTCCTTAAATCTTCTCAAATCTAACATTTCTACAGGATTCCAATGAACTTTTACATAATCTTGAGGGTTCCTATTATCTGGCGGTTGTTCTTGTATGATAACTGATGTATTAAGGTTGGTGTTCTAATAACCTTAGGCCACTACTCTTCAATTTCATAATGTAATGTTGCAGTAGGTTCTACTCTAAATTCCTCTGTGTGTGAATATTTTTCTTGTTTTCATTAGTAGGTCTTTCTAAGACTTGTATCTTTTTTTAAAGATTTATTTATTTATTATGTATACAGTGTTCTGCCTGCATGTATGCCTGCAGACCAGAAGAGGGCACCAGATCTCATTACAGATGGTTGTGAGCCACCATGTGGTTGCTGGGAATTGAACTCAGGACCTCTGGAAGAGCAGCCAGTGCTCTTAGCTGCTGAGCCACCTCTGCAGCCCTAAGGCTTGTTTCTTATCAAATTATCATATTTGGCAGTTATCAAACTACCTTTTTAAGGAGAAAATATTAATTACCAAACTGATAGTAATTACAGTAGACATTGTATCAACCCCAGCTAGGTCATTTATCCCCTTGTTCACACTTTCCGTCACACCATCCGTAGTAGCACTATACAGGGTCCTAGCACCCTGCACTGTGATGGTCCCCATTCTTAACTTGGGAAAAATCTGTCCTAAAGGATTTCCCAGGTATCTCACCAAATCTGCTGATATCTCCAAGAGTCCTGGCAAGTGGTAGCCACCTGCTGTGAATGCTCTTACAGAAAGGCCCAGACTGCAACTGCCTGAGCCAGCTGGCGTTGACCCCTCCATCTGTGTGGTTGTGCCAACACTGGAGCACCAGAATGCTGTTTTACCTCATCTCAGCGATGCGCTTTAAACTACTCACAGACCCGCTGCTCAGGCCATAGTCTAGAGGGATTCTGCTCCCCCAGACAATGGCTCTGTTGCTGCCGCCAGTGGTAGCTTTAACTAAGTCTGTATCGTTGTAATAAAACTCGAGATTCAAAGACTAGGGTGTAAACCTGTGAGCTCAGAGAGTTAGAGTAGCCACTGGCTGACTCTCTTTCTCTTTGCTGCTGTCCCCGGAAGCCTCTCCTTCAAAACCACTCCAACTAATAAACCCACCTGTGCTCCTCCCTGTTACTTCCTGTCAGCTAGTTAACCCTGCCTCTCTGAGCCCAGGTTAATTTTATTTAATCAACACAATGCAACACATCTTTACGTAGTTAAACAAATGCAGCATAAACAAATGTAGCACATCTTTGCCTAGTTAAACAAATATTCCACAACAGAATTCTGCTCAGTTGGTGTCTCAGTTTATTACTGCTATGATGGAACACCATGGCCAAAAGCAAATTGGGGAGGAAAGGGTTCATTTGGCTCACACTAATATGTCCATAGTCGGTCACTGAAGGAAGTCAGGACAGGAACTCAAACAGGACAGGAACCTGGAAGCAGGAGCTGATGCAGAAGCCATGGAGGGTACTGCTTACTGGCTTGCTCTCCATGGCTTGCTCGGGCTGCTTATTTTGTTTTGTTCTGTTTTTCGAGACAGGATTTCTCTGTAGCCCTGACTGTCCTGAAACTCCCTCTGTAGATTAGACTGGCCTTGAACTTGGAAATCTGCCTGCTTCTGCCTTCCAAGCTTGGATCAAAGGCATTCGCCACCACTGCCTGGCCACAGCCTGCTTTTTAATAGAACCCAGGGCCACCAGCCCAGGCTTGGCCCCTATCAATCACTAATTAAGAAAATGCTCTAAGGGCTAGCCTACAGCCCAATCTTATGGAGGCATTTTCTCAGTTGGGCTCTCTCCTCTTGGATGACTCCAGCCTGTGTCAAGTTGCCATAAAATTAGCCTGGACAGTTGGTTACTTATTTGTAAATAGAGGCACCAGATCGTAACTCAAAAGAGGCAGAAGGCAGGCGTGTCGTGATCTGGCTGCTGGGGAGGGAACTGGAGCCCACACCCAGAGAATCCAGCCTGGCTGCCCTGTACCGGGCTAGCTGGCAGAGTAGGTAGCAAGGTGTCCCTGTGAACCCTGGCCCTAGGACATCTCTGGCTCTAAGCCAGCTGCTGGTGTCGTGGGAAGACCCACCGCTGACAACCCAGATCATTGGGAAGCAAGCTACCAGGGTTGGGGAGGTGTGAGACCAAGGTCATGAGACAGTTAACAGGGAGACTGGCAGCTAGGAAATCCAGGAAATACTGGCCTCTTTGATTCCCCAGGGACATGTTCTTGCCAATCCCCAAGTTCCAAAGCTCCCACTTAGATGGCCCAGGTTAGTAGGGGAGTGGCAGGCAGGAGAAAGTTGGGTATATCATTTGGACAGCTGCTAGGCTAACAAGTTTACAGGCCTCAGGCCAATGCCCTCTGGGAGTGAGGCAGCCTGGGTCCCTGACAGACCAGATGAGTTAGGGATTTGAGGTGGTTCTGAGGCAGTTTAGCTTTTTCTCTGACAGCTGGCATTTCCAAAGCTGGTACCCACAGGGAGGAAAATCAGAACTTGCCACTTCATACATCTTTTTCATTTATGTGTTGACTTCATGTCTATTGTGCATAAATGCCTGGTACCCAGGAAGACCACAAGAGGGCATCAGATCCACTGGAACTAGAGTTAAAAAGGATTGTGAGCCACCAAGTGGGTGCTAGGAATCAAATCCAGGTCATCCGGAAGAACAGGACACGTGCTTTACCCACTGAACCATCTCCATGCCCAGACTAAAGCCCTGTGAGCTGCTTATCTGCTGGTTCAAGAGGACAAGGGTGGGAGGCGGAGCCCAGCATCCGGGCTGCTTGCCTCCATCTCATCTTCCTACAGGAACCAGATTATCTCGGAGGTATGGGGGAATGGAGGGGTGGCTAGGTCCCAGCTCTTTTTCTGTCTCCTACTTTGGGGGGCAGCAAAGGCTGTACTAGGGAAGTGACTGGATTGGGATTCTCTAGGCCCAGTGCCCTGGGCAAAGTGGCAGAGTTGGAGGAGGCTGGGCTGTTCGGAGCTGTGTGTCCTCTTCGGAACAGGCCACTTCCCCACTTGCCCTGCCTGTTGAACTTGCCCGTGGCTGTAGCCCCATCCTTTCTTCCCTGGCTGCAGGACAGTGTTAGTGGCAGATGGATACAGTACTAGGAACCAGACCATAGAGCCAACCCAAGTGTAACTGCAGGTCAGTCTCCATGCAAGGGACTGAGACTCAGTCTGGACACGTCCTCAGCCAGTGCATCCCTACCCCACCCTCCTGTCTTCCTGGCTCAGCCAGCCCAGCCCAGCCCAGCCCTGAGGAGAGCGTTGGCAGCTGGAGCTGGGAAAAGCATGGCAGAGCCAAGAACAACAGAGGCCCCGCCTAGATGCTGCACAGACCCTCTTCTGGCTTGGGGTAGCCCCTCCTCCTGCCTGGGTCCTTGCTGTTGTTTCCTCAGCTCCTATGCTGGCCCCCTGGCCCTCCTTGCCTAACTTTGCCAGACCCCAGGCTGGCCCTGCAGGTCATTGCATCCTCTGTCTTTGGGTGGAGCCTCCCCTTAACATGGGGTTTCTCAGGGTCCTCTCTCCTCCTTTCCTAGTTCTCAGAGTTCCCCCCAGCACCCAAATGTTTCTGGGAGATGAGTTGCTTCCTTCCTAGGTCCCCGACCGTCTTTCAGCTCTGAGGCTCTACTGCCCTCCATTCTGCCACAATGACAGCCTGGGTCCCTAAGCCAGGGAGACAGAAGGCACAAGAGTCGTCTCTGCATGGAGGACTCTAATGGAACCGAGGGTGCAAGGGCTCAGGAGACCCGAGGCTAACCAAGCACAGCTTCTCTTCCGGCGCAGAGCCCCCCCCCCCCCACCTCTGGACAAGTGTCCAGCCCAGCCTGGCTGACTTTCCCTTGGGAAGTCCAGGTCGACAAACACCGACCCAGGAGAGTCAGTAACACTGCCCTGAGTGCAGTCCTCCACCAGGACTGACCTTGGCCCAGAGTCTTCGTAGTCCTGGTGGGGGTGAGTGTGGGCATTTAGTGACTTTCCTATCCCCCAGTCAACCCTGGCCTCTTCCATGATGGAAGCCTCCGGGAAGGGGTGTAGAGGGCAGGAGTGTCTCCTTTTCCAAGTCCCATACTGCAGCCCTCCAGCGCACAATCTGCCCTACCTACACTTGTTCGCTTCCATCTCAGCCCCTCCCTGTCCTCTGCTCCAAGCCTGAGACCACCTTCCTTCTAGCAGCGCAATGGACGAACAAAGCACCAGAATGTCCCTCCGCTCTCCTGAGCTTGTCTGTTTGTTCCCCGCTCCACCCTCAGCTTGCCTCTGCTTCCCTGTTGTGTCTCCAAACTCCTGATGGGACAGGGAGCCCCAGGAGGGGTGTGATCATGGAGTGGGGTCACGGGGCAGAGCTGCAGCAGATTTGGTTCTAATTGAAAGGCCAGAGGCACCGGGAAATTCCTTTCCTTATTGATCCCAGTGGGAAATTAAAGCCAGTAGTTGGGCATGGAACGCTTATTGGCTGCAGCTCCTCAGCTCTGGGGCCCTAGCCCCTGCCCCTTGCGGGTTGCATCCCCCCATCCACGCCTGCTAGCCCTCCTAGCGCTTTCCAGGCCCCGTCCCTCTGTCTCCTCTTCCCAGCTGCTCACCTAAACACCCGGCTATTCCCCTGGAAGAAAGGGCTGCTGCAGGCTGAACCCCCCAGCCCGAATCAGTCGGTATATTGCCACCACCCTCGCTCTCCTTCGGCAAAGTCGGGGTGCCTGGAGCTCTGGCCCTAAGCTGCCAAACCACAAACACATCTGGAAAGAATTCCCCGCCCAGTCCCACTTCCCTTTGTCTTACTTCTGTCTCTGGAAATCCCAGCCAGTTGCTAGGGGAGGGGGTGGTGGGGATGAAGAGTAGGGAGTGGGCCCAGGGCTCCACTCCCACCCGGGGGTGGGGGGCCTCCTTCCAGACTCTAGCCTCTGTGGGACTGTCCACCTGCCCTGTGTTCCTCGGAGCTGCCATCCCAGGCCTAGGCTAGGTGTCTTCATCCTGGTGACCGGCTGTGAGGTCCCCAAGGCTCCTGGAAAGAGGGCTTGCCTTGTTGCCCTTTTCTCTTGCACGAGGGGGAATGCCACCCGAGTCTGGAGCCGTGGAGATGGACACAATGACCGGCAGAAGAGGCAGGGACACTAGGGAGGACAGCTGGCGCCTTGTTCCCTCCTCAGGCCTTTCCTCATTTCTTGGGCTATAAGCTGGATTTCACTGTCAGAACCCAAAATCCCCTCATTGTACCCACAGCAAGGCGACGCTGGGGTGGAGAGTGGGGGCGCTCCAACCTGTACTCAGAGCGCTACCCAGGGTCCCCTTTTCTCCCCACCTCTGCAGCAGTCTGCGGTGAAACTGGTGCCCTTTCTTCCAGAAGCCTATACCCCCCCGTGTCGTCCCCTCCACCCCCAGTGAGCTCTCCCTTTTAAAATCTGGAGTCTTAGACTCAGGCCAAAGTGTTTCACTCCCTTCCGGGTAGTGATGGATGCGCGGGGGTGGGGTGGGGTGGGGGATGGGGGCGGTCCAGAAGCCCTTATGAGAGGCAACCTCCCTCCCTCAACCTCTCAAGTTTTCCACACCCCATTATCCGGGGATTGCCTCGACCTAGGCCCGACTCGCATGACACTGGCCTGGCGCTGAGGTTAATCCTCCAGGCCCTGTCCACAGCTACAATTGGATTCCCACCAAAGCCTGCCAGTCCCGGTTCACCCGCCGGGTCTAACCTTGGCCACGCTGACCAGGAGGGGCCAGGCAGGGACCTTGTTTGAGATCCTGTGGGGGGATACAGGGAGGATCCCGGGAGGCTGGTGGAGGACTCCGAGGCAAGGGTGAGCACTTCCCGCTCCCGCACCGAACAGCGTTGTCTCTGGCCTCGGGTCCCCCGCGTGCCTCCAGGCCCCGCATGCCCTTTCTGCTTCCTGATCTCTTCTAGGTCCTTCCACTAGGGCTTCACCCACTTAATAACCACCCTCAGAGGGGCCAGGCCCGCCTCACTTTCAGCTCAAGATGGGGGTATCTCACATCCAGACCCACCCCCTCCCCGCGCAGCCAGCCTTCCCCCAACCCCAATGGCATCATGGCGCACAGGGGGGCTCCACGTCCGCCTCCGCCTCCTTGTGGCCCAGGGGGCCTGGGAAGCGGAGCCACAGAGAAAGCTCCTTAATAAAGAGTCGTGTCAAGTGATTGGCTGTGACCTCTGCCCTCCTAGCCTCGCGCTCGGGGGCTCCAGCTTAACCCTTCGTTGTCCGTCCAGTGCTTGGGGAGGAATGAATGAGTTGCCTTGTGCTCACTTAAGGCGTCCCCAGGTACTGCTCGAACCCAGAGCTGAGTCGGGGTGGAGGCCAGAGCAGCACCTTCCAGTCACCCAAAGGAACGCCTGAATTCCAAGGATCCAGTGGGGTCCGAATTCGACAGCCAGTTGCCGGGCCCCAGATCCTGCTCGAGTGGGGTCTCCAGATGCCTGTCTGGCGCCGAGCTGTCCAGGGCACCGAGTTTGGTAGCGGGCTAGTAGGAACTGGCGAGACGGGACCTGTGTTCGCTCTGTAGGCCGTGAGACCGGAGCATCCATGACCAGGCAAGGCGTGCCCTGTTCTTGCCAGAGGCACAAACCCTGTGCTTGCCTCCTGACGCTTCCCCGTCCGCCTACTGATGCGGGAGAAGGGTATCTTGGCCCTTAGAGAACCCTAGACCCACCCACAGTTGTAGAAACAGGCGGGATTCGGAATGGATGGGGGTGAGGTGGCCACAGCGCAGGGCCCCCAGGTGGGGTAGAAGGCGGGGCGGGGGCGGGGCCGCCTCATGCACCAGCTGGGTATAAAAGCCAAGAGCGCCGGCGCCCAGCGGCTTTTGCAATTGTCCTCCACGCGGCTCGGACCCGGGTGGGAGGATTAATTCTGCAAAGGGCGCAGCGTCCAGGGCTCCAGCTGAGGATCTAAAGAGAAAGCCACCTCGCTGCCACCATGCCTAACTTTTCTGGCAACTGGAAGATCATCCGATCGGAAAACTTTGAGGAATTGCTCAAAGCTCTGGGTAAGGAGGTTTTCGAGGGCTGGGAGGGGGCAAGAAGAGCGCTGGAGTCCTTGGAGCCGAGGGAGCCGAAGGCCATAAAGAAAAGGAGGCCGAATCAGGGGGTAGGTGCCTGGGAGTCTGCATCCCAGAAGAGGGGCGTGCCAGATTCCCTGGGTCCTGGGGCATCAGGGCCCGGACTCTTAAATCCTACTTTCTGAGGCTGGGCGCCCACCAGTGCCAGCTTCAACAGTGACTCAGAGCCTGTGAATCAAGTAGAAACCAGAAGCACAAGGTTAGTCTGGGGGGTGGAGGGGGGTGGCTAGCCTCGGCGCCTTGACCTGCTGACCAGCGAGGGCACCTGGCTCAGCTCTGAGAATCCAGGATCCAAGCAGGGAGCCCTAGGAGACATTCCGAGCTCTTTCCACGTACCCTAACAGTAACCCAATCCCTGCGACAGGTCCATTACCCCCCAACACTTGGCTCCGCCCACCAGGTGGTCCACCGCTTCAGCTCCCGGACCCTCCCCCACTTGCGCTTTCCACTCTGTTCTCCCCACCACCCTACCCCTTGCCTGTGAGACAAATATTTTCCTACAGCAAGCGGCTCCAAAGCCCTCAAATCGCTCTGGACAATTACCACTTTCTTAGATTTCAACAAATGTCCTCGTGTGAAACACCAATCCCCGTTTCCGAAAGTCCCTCCTAGTCAGGGACCAGCTGCGCCCAGCCCGCCCAACTGGGCTGTTAGCCACAAGGGTGCGAACCCAGAATCCACCCAGACGGCCCTGCGGACCTTCCCTGTCCACCTCCTGCTGCCCTCCAGGGTGGGGCTGGCCTAAGGGTATAGGAGAGACAGCTGAGGAGAGGTGGAGTTAGCCCCCTGCCCCCCAGGGAATGGGAACAGCTCCAGAACCTAAGGGTCAGCATGCCTTCCGTTTCTGGACTGGAGAGGAACCTCGGTTGGCCTGGGAAGCAGGGGATACCCTCGGAAGAGCCGGGGACTACCCGAGAGTGAGTCTGGAAGGGAAAGGAATGTAGTGAGGGCAGTAGGGCCTCCGTTCTCATCTTTCCGTGCTCTTAGTTCTTTGTGTCAGCTAAACCGCAATGATTCTTAGAGTCATACCCATTTTTCTCGCTCCTCCCTTGCTGAAATTAAAGATCAAAGGATAGAAATTTTCTTTTCTGAAAATCTATTGCCATTTCCTCCCCCATTTGCTCTGAATTCTGGACACTTCCCCTGGTGGATGTGGGAGCCTGGCGTCACCCCCAGGTTCCAGCTGGAGCGAAAGGCCCAACCCTATTATCTGTCCTCAGAATGTTTGTCTTCCCTGCAGGGTCTCTTAGAGCCACGCGACTTTCTAGGGGGCAGATTGAAAACAGACCTGTTACACAAACTGCCCTGTGTCAGCCAAGGTCATCTGGGCCAGGCCCCCAGCTCCGCAGGCACCCAGGACTAGGTGGAGGGAGTTGTCTTCTGAACCCAACCTCTGCAGACTTCTCAGTCCTGTTCAAGGGTCCATGTTGAGGAGGAGGCTCCAGGCTCGCCATGATAGTCAGGGCCAACAGAGCAGGTCTTTTTGTTGAGACTGGGTGAGTCAGCCTTGGGCCTGAGTGTAGAGTCAGTTTTCTTCCCAGGAGGTGGGGGTGGGGGCAAGGGCAGTTTGAGTGTCTTGCCCCCTGGTGTGCCTTTAGAGGGTTGGTTCTCCTTCACTAACAGGCTTGGAGCGGTAGGGGGAGGGCCTCATGTTGGTGCCCCTACCTTCTGGTTGTACCAGCAGAAGGGTGTTCTCCATCCACACGGGCCTCTTCGTAACTGGGGGCAGGGAAGGGAAAGTGTGTGAGGACACAGACTCTGAATACACAGAGGTGAGGTGGGGAGGCCTAGAGGATCTTGGGGCTTGAGACATCAGAGCGAGGGAGGGGACAGTACCCTTTTCTTCCCCTTTCCTCTTCTCAGGACAGCAGAGAATTCCTCTGAAGGAGACCTGGGGATATTACAGGAGCCCCAGAGGGCAGTTTGGTGCAGGGAACTTTGTCCAAACCTAGTTTTGGCTTTTTTTTCATTTGCATATGTTATGTACAAGAAATAATGGGCTTCACTATGTTCTTGCTCTTCCTTCCTTCCTTCCTTCCTTCCTTCCTTCCTTCCTTCCTTCCTTCCTTCCTTCCTCATTTTTCTTGAGACAGGGTTTCTCTCTATAGCCTTGGCTGTCCTCTTGCTCTGGAGACCAGGCTGGCTTCAAAATCTAAGATCAGGCCTGGCGGCGGTGGCGCACACCTTTAATCCCAGTACTCGGGAGGCAGAGCCAGGCAGATCTCTGTGAGTTCGAGGCCAGCCTGCTCTACAGAGAGAGATATCCAGGACAGGCACCAAAACTACAAAGAGAAACCCTGTCTCGGGGAAAAAAAAAAACCCTCCGAGCTCCACCTTCCTCTGCCTCCCAAGTGCTGGGATCAAAGGTGTGCCCCATCACGCCTTGGTCTTGGCTTTTTCATTTGATTTGCTTTTATCTACGATAATGTTTTCAGAAAACATGAAGGTGTACTTGACCTTGTGTATCTTAAGTTCTTAGACACGGAGCCATAGGACGCTTTGAGGAAGCTCTATCTCCATTTGAGGACCCGGAAGCTGGAAAAGGTTAAGCTCTCTGCTCAGGCCCACTCAGCCTGGAGCGGGGAGTATCCCAGCTTCTGGAACTTACTCCCCCCCCCCCCCAGCCTCTGGCTTTCTGTAGAGAGAAGAATCTTCCTCAGCTGAGCATCGGCTCCTCACTTTTGGGAGGGGCAGAGATAGTGCAAATGAGGACCTAACCTCATGCCAAACAGGGTAGATACCTGGGTCAGAGAGGACAGTGACCTGGTCTCCCCTGCAAGTGGGAAAAGCTGATAAGCCTACCTCAGCAGGTCTCGAGCCCAGTGGTGAAAGGGCACAGTGAGGTAAACTGAATGGGGGAAGCTTCCTCTAAGGATGCTAGGAGTGGGTGGCTGGGACTTGGTGAGTCCTGTCCACTACTGGCCATAGCCCAGGTAGTATGCTCTGCCCCTCCCCCTCTCTGTCTCTTCTCCCTCAACCTATAGTCTGTTTCACCACTGCCACCCTTATCACCATCCCCACCCCCAACACCTACCCCCCCCCACACTAACACCACCACCACCACCACCACCACCAACTGGGCGAGGCTGCTCCAGCTGTCTCTCGGCAGGGTGTGACAGGGCCAATCCTCTCTCCCTGCAGGGGTGAATGTGATGCTGAGGAAGATCGCTGTGGCTGCAGCATCCAAGCCAACAGTAGAGATCAAACAGGAGGATGACTCTTTCTACATCAAAACCTCCACCACTGTTCGAACCACGGAGATTAACTTCAAGATTGGGGAGGAATTTGAGGAGCAGACTGTGGATGGGAGACCCTGTAAGGTGAGGAACAGGGCGGGTCCCTTCCTGTCACAGCACCTCCTTGCCATGCTTCTGTGTCCAGTTTCCCTAGACTCTCTACTCTCGCGAAGGAGTTCCTAGGAAGGTGCTGGAAAGGGGTCTAGCTCGTCTCCCTTTCGTTTGCATCGGCCCTTACTGTGAGCCCAACTCATGTGGCCTCTGGTCTCTTGCAGAGCTTGGTAAAATGGGAGAGTGAAAACAAAATGGTGTGTGAGCAGAGGCTTCTGAAGGGAGAGGGCCCCAAGACCTCCTGGACCAGAGAACTGACCAATGATGGAGAGCTGATCCTGGTGAGCCCTGCCCCATCCAGTCCCCTGGAAGACCCCTGCTCCTTCGGCCTTCTCTGCCAGGCTCCAGCAGGTTCAAAAGCAGCTGTGGCCATTCTCCTCGGCCTCCTGATGGGGCTGTTGGAAATGCTAACCCTTTTTGTGCCACGAAGTTGTGCCCAGAGGAGCCCACAGTTTTCCAGCGGGCTATCCCTGACTGCCTCTGGACCCCAGGAGGAAGTGGGTTTCTGCTTGCCCCCTAGCAATGATGCCCAGGCAGTCTTGCATTTGCTCTTGCCTGTTTGGGCTTAGAAGTAAAGCAGTCTACCTCTCAACCGTCCCTTTTAAGGCCAAGGTGCCAGGTGCCTCACCAACTGACTACTTCTATCCTTCTAGACCATGACAGCAGATGACGTCGTGTGCACCAGGGTCTACGTCCGAGAGTGAGTGCCTGCGGGTCCAAGAACGGCCACAGACTCCTTCCCCTCCCCCACAGCCACTCAGCCCCCTCCCCTGTCTGTCTACAAACTAGCTCTCCCCTTATTCCCGAGGATCGCTGCTTCCTCCAGGGCCTCTTGTTCTTTGCCTTCTCTATGCCAGAGAGGAACAGACTACAATAGCCCAGAACCCCTCCCGCCATCTCATGCCCCTCCCCAGGTTAGCAGCTCCATACCAGAGTCCTTCTTCCCGGAGGAGACTGTCTCTCTGGTCTCTACTCTTTATCCTTGTAGTCTGTATGGTTTAGAATATTTATTTGTTAATTTTATTAAAATGTTTGAAAAAAAAAAAAAAAAGTAAGCTCCTGTGGCTCCCTGGGCAGTGGTAGACAAGTTTAGCCTGGTCTGAAATGCAATGGGAGACGGTACCGTCCCTGCAGGTCAGCCATGTCCAGGGCGCCTCCTTTGGTTGCCGTGAGTGTCTCCTCTGTGCTCTTCCCCAGCCCTGGTCCCCTAATCAGAGTGCTGGGTTCTAGGGAGCTGACTCCACTCTCTCCACCTGTTTTCCATTGTGTCGACATGGCTTCCCACATGGTTCCAGATGAGCCCAGTCACACCCACAGGCTGACCTTGCTCCTGCCTAGGTCTCTCAGAGAACGTTCTCCTGCCAGCCAGCACCTGCATCTGCCATTGTCCGTCCTCCACACCTCCAGATCTCCCACATGCCCTTTCTGCTCCTGGCTTCACTCAGGTGTTCCAAGGTGTGACCACAGGCAAGTTACTCAAACATCTTTGGGCCTTTTCTGTTTTTAAAACTCAAAACTGTTTTAAAGCATGGTGGTTGATACCTTTAATCCTAGCATGTGGGAGGCTGAAGCAGTCAGTGAGTTCAAAGCCAGCCTCGCTACAGTGTGACTCCTGTCTCAAAAGACAGGACTGAGCCTGGCTAGTTCAGTTGGTAGACCATGAGACTCTTAACCTCAGGGTCATGAGTTCGAGCCCCATGTTGGATGCCAGGTATAACGAGAAATCCATGGGAGTCTGCTTAAAGGGTAAAAGGAATTTATTAGGAAAGAAAACTCACTAAACAGAATAGGAGAATCGGGCTGTACTTCAAGGTCATAGGTAGAACAGATATCCACTACAATAACAGGGCTTCGGAGATGGCTCAGTGGATAAGTGTTTGCTATGCAAGATCGAGTGCCCAGGTTTGGATCCTTAGAACTCACACTGTGGTATAGCTGGATGTGGTAAAGCTGGATGTGGTAGCAGTCTTCCAGGGAGGTAGGAGGCAGAGACAAAGAGTCCCTGGAGGCTCGTGGGCTAGTCTGGTGGACAGAGTGATGAACAACAAGAGAACCTGCTTCAAACAAAGTGGAAGGCAGGACCTAACACCTGAGGCTGGCCTTTGACCTCCACTTATGTCACGGTATGTGTCTATCTTCACACACACACACACACACACACACACACACACACACACACACACTACCACCACTACCACCACCACCATCAACAAAGACAAGAACAGCTTAGGGCTGGACATAGCTTGCCTAGTGCTATGAGTGCTTGCCTAGTATGTACAAGGCCCCGGGTTCAATCCCCAGTGCTAGGGGTAAAATAATCACAAAGTTCGGGCTGGGGTTGTAGTTTAGTGGCAGACCACTTGTCTCATATGTACAAGGCCTGGAGTTCCATCCCACCACCACAAAAAAAAAAAAAAAAAAACCAACCCCACAAACTCACACACTGTTTGGCTTACATACTAGTAAATTCTCCCTGGGTCTAGCTTCAGGTGTAGCTGGGTCCAAAGTCCCAAAGATGGTCACTGTTTCTCCTTGTCCCTCTGTCATGCTCCTCTCTTGAGTTTTTGCAGTGTCCACATTCAACTTTGTCCCACAGATACTTTTCCCCCGTCAAAATGAGCTTCCGAGGCAGCCACACTCACAAAGTCACAGCCTGGGACACACGGACAGGAAACACGCTCTCCCTGGGCCCACCTCTCCACATCCAAACCATGATTAGGGTCTGATTAGACTGCAGGACCATCCTGGGACTAGTCGATAGCCACAGGGCACAGGGTCTAGTGATGGATCAAAGCTGGATCTTGAGTCACAGGTGGCCAAAGAACAGGCAGACACTGATCATTCATTCCTCAGAAACCCAAAGGTGGTAAGGAAGTGTTTTCAATGAACAAGGTCACTATGATCCCAGTTTCTAATCCACAAAGCAGTGTTTATAAACCTCTCAAGGTGTTAAAGAAAATCTCATTATGCACATAGCACTTAGCAATAGGAAGCTTCCCCTGCCCCCCCCCAAAAAAAAACAGTAATAAATGATGGTTTAGAGCTGGGCTATGTGGTGCTGGAGGGGGAGGCAGAAAGATCAGGAGTTTGGAGCCAGCCTGGGCGGCATGAGACTCTGCCTCAACAAAACTAAACCACAAATGATGAGTTCCGCTGGGCTTAATGATGCACACCGGAGTTCCCAGCATGTGGAGAGCTAAGGCAGAAGGGATGACTGCAAGACCGAGGCCACCCTGCTCTGCATGGGGAAACTTGGCTCAAAAGCACCGGGGTTGGGGTGGGGGGTGGGGGGAGCCAGGCGTGTTGGTCTACACCTTTTAATCCCAATGCTTGGGAGGCAGAGGCAGGCGGACCTCTGTGAGTTCGAGGCCAGCAGTCTACATAGGGAGTTCCAGAGGGACAAAGAAAGGCCTCATCTCAAAACAACAAAAAACTTTCCAGAACAAAAGAGGGCTAAAGAGACAGATAGCTCAACAGGTAAAAAGCAATTGCTGTGAAAACCTGACAGCCTGAGTTTGGTCCCTGGAACCTGGAGTGGAAGAATCAACTCCTGAGTGTCGTCTTCTGACCTTCACGTGTGTGCCATGGCAGGTACAAACCCTCACTCACACATCACACGCCATAATAATAAATAAACCAAAAACAGTGCTCACTTGGACAGCACATAGCCAAAACTGTAATGAAGCATACCATATTTTTCAGAACACCAAAAGAGTTGGGGGTTTCTTTTTCTTCTTTTTTTTTTTTTCCGAGACAGGGTTTCTCTGTGTAGTTTTGGTGCCTGTCCTGGAACTCAATCTGTAGACCAGGCTGGCCTCGAACTCACAGAGATCCGCCTGGCTCTGCTTCCCGAGTGCAGGGATTAAAGGTGTGTGCCCCTGCCCCGCTGAGTTGGGGGTTTCTACTTCTCCAATTCACTACACTGTTCTAGGGCAATCTTCAAAACCTGTTATTTCAGTAACTCTATGTGAAAAATTAGCAAGGGGTTGGATGGATGTAGGACAGTGACATTTATGTTCAGCATGTACAAAGCCCAGGTGTCCATTACCAGCACAGAAACAAAAACAAATAAAACAAAAATGACCTTAGCTACCTTTTTCATGTCCAAAATGAAATATAAACTGGTATTAGATGACCTTCAAGTGGCCCCTACCCTTTCTGCATTTAGCTCCTTCAAGAAGGCTTGCAATCTTTACCGTAAGCCCTCAATGAGTCTCCCTAGCTTGGCTCTGGGTAGTGCAAGAGCCTTTTCCTCAGTCAGTGTTGCCATTGGAATGCTCCGTTACTTCCTTTCCTAGACGGTCAGGGTGATTTGAGGCCAGGTCACCAAAGGGGATTGGGGTGTTTTATTGGGCTCCTAGGAGGAACTGGGTTAGAGAAATGGGGGAGTAATTGAAGAGCCAGCAGGAGGCTGGTACAAGGTGTGCATCCAAGGTAGAAAAAGTATGTCAGAAGCTGTGGATTCTCTCTGCAGATGGGAGGAATTGGGAGGGGGGGGGTGTTGAGGAGGGCCTTGGGACACCTGACTTCGGTTTTCTCACAAATGGAAAAAAATTCTGTTGAGGACTGACTGAAGAAAGGGTCTTTCTCAGCACTCAGGAGGCAGAGGCAGGGGGATCTCTGTGAGTTCAAGGCCAGCCTGGTCTATAGCTCAAGTTTCAGGACAGCCAGAGCTTTACAGAGAAACCTTGTCTTGAAAAACATAAACAAACAAACAAATAATAAATAGGATCTTTCTCCCACTGGTTTCTTGCTGGAATCCACGACTCAGCTCCAAGCCTTGGTTTCTTTCTTTCTACCTTGTCTGTTCCCAGCCTTCAACGTGGCCTCTACTCTGCCTGCCCCTGGTCCTGGGGGCTGGAGCTCAGTGCATTTGAGCTCCTCAGAGTCACAGACTTCCTGGGAGCGCTGAGGTTTGTCCCTCTGTTCACAGCCAGGGTGACAGGGAAGTTATAGTCCTGGTTAGGGTGATGGGGGCAGGGTGTTCCCACCTGACTCAACTGTGAGAAGGTTGCTCCAGCTTCCCGCCCTGCAGCAGCTGGGGCAGCCCAGCAGGGCCTCTTTCCCACCTTACCTGAGTAAGTCTTCCTTACTCAACAGTGCTGCTGGGAGCAAGGGCCTCGAAGGTCCCCACCTCCCACCTCCCTGAGATTCTGCACTGTCTCTGTCTCTGTAGATAGAGCCTTTTCTCTCTGGAACCCAAATTTCTAAGAGTTTAGCCACAGGAGGCCCAAGCCTCCAAGACAGCAGAGTGCCTCAGACAAAATGACATCCAGGAAGCCAGAAGGAAAAACAGCAGAGACCAGGGAAAGGGGCCCTGTGTGAAGATGGGGTAGGAATGCTGCCTGGCACTGGCGGAGTCTTTATCTATACCTTAGGCGAGAAGTAGAGACAACCCTACTCATCTCTGCCCTCCAAGAGACAGGAGCTGGGAGTTAGGGGAAGGCCCATTAAATGACAAAATGTAGAGAGCGTGGACGCAGATGAAGAGACCAGGGAAGCTCCAGAACGGGGCTCAGTGACCTCTGAGGTCCCAGCACCGGACAGCACCAGACACCAATACCACCGTGTCTGGTGTTGATGGCCAAGGTAGAGGAGCCTGCGGGTAGGAGAGCCCGAGTCACGGAGTCACGAGAAAGAAAAAGTGGCAGGGTGGAGGAAGTCCGGGGAGAATAGTGCACAACACACACGCACGCACGCACGCACGCACACACACACAACCTGGAAAGAGAGGCAGAAAACAAAGAGGAAGAAAAAGACAAAGAATAAGAGAGAAAACTGGCCAGGGAGCTGAGGGCAAGGCAGGCGATCGGGACCCCAGAGGGCTGAGATTTTCCAGAGGGGCAGGCGAGGGAAGAAAGGGCCAGGCCCTATGACCCCAGGGCCTAACAAAGAGCTTATGGCACTTACTGGCCAAGATGGATGGGCCTGGATGCCAGGGCCTTTGTGGTAGAGAAGAAAGGAAACCGCTCTAAGGAGGTCCTTGGAGGGGTGGGGTGGGGGTGGGGGTGTGTCCCAGACCCTTTCCT